AAGTCAGTTGTTATTTCTCTTGGCGCAACCCTGGCAGTTGATATGCTAACAAGATCCTGATTCTCTGCAAAAGGGTTGACCCATTCCTTTATCAAATCGACAATTACTGAAATCATGTTCATCCCTCTGGATTCTTGGACGTTGTTATTCTGTATGAGATATTACTGATGATTTTTCTCCAACCATGTGCCATAGAAGTCTTAAAGGAAAAGCTTTGATACTCTGCAATTATATAGTAGCGTTTAATAGCTGCTGCTTTTACGTTGAATCGAGCTGTTCCACCGGTGTCTGTGTGTCCTTATTACATGTAAGTACTTATTAAGTGATCGTCATCATCTGTTGATTTGTTCATGTGTATAATGCATTTTGTTCATGGTACGTGAAATACAGACATTAACAGGATACTGTTTTAGAAAAACGTTGTGACCTTTTGGCCTTTGACCTTATGACATAATGAAGTAATGGGTCTGTTTCATACATTCTTTTCATAAATACCCCTAGAAAATTTTTTATTCAAAGTTATAATAATATAATATTTGTGTTTCGTAAATATGCACATAAAGTAAATCAAGGGAAATTTTCGTCAATTTTCAGTTTTGTGGTAAGGATAAAAATTTACTATGAAATCAAGTGATATATATATTTGATACTGAAAATATGTTTTGAAACGCCAATTAGTGAATGAAATTCTTTAAATCAAATGATTGTGCAATATGTTTTTGATATGAAAATTGTCACAGAAGTAATTTCTTTCTGCTGATTATAATTTCAAAACTGCATGCAGTTCCACTGTATGATCATGGGTAGGATTATATCCCTATATAATTTAGAGGGCTCATTGCAGAGCCAATATTGAATAATTATTGAAAAGTTTAATAACATGGCCTGCATTTGAAAGAATTTCCAAGAAGACGTCAATCGAAATAATAAAGAAAATGTAAATTGAATAAACCGACCTTCTCCTTTCATAGACACGGTTGGAAGAATTAACATTATGGGTGGTTGTATATATAAACGGTTGATACGCCATTAAAGCCACAATCAATTGAATGCTATCATTTTCTGAAGGTAGAGATGTATGTCCTTCGAAAAATAACTATGAAAATTATTCACCCAAGATGGTACCGATACTGAAAAATTCATGGCCTGGCTCATGGACTATGTGTAATTTATATTTTAAAATATACGTTTACTATTCTGTGAATTGACTGTAGAATGTCCAAACAATAGCTGAAATTTTTCGATAGACATTTGTACTATAAATATAGTATCAAACATTTTCTGCAATTTATTTTTAGTAAAGATTGGCAAAGTTCATTGATAATTATAAAAAAATGTTTTGTTGCTCTCCTGACTTATATTAAAACCATAGATCACAAACATTCATAGAGTGTTCGCAACATCAAGTTGTAACGAATTGAGCAATATTTATAGTCCCAATACTTTATTGATATAAAACTGTTTAAACTTGGCTTTACGTCTTGAATTATTCCCTATTAATGTCATAAATCTAGCTAAAAATACTAGGAAGAAAAAAGTATATTCTATAGGACATTTTACCTCATGTGACAAACACTGTTAGCAACTAGAAACATTTTACTCATCAATTTTATTCTCTATTTATTCATTTTTTGATCATCGATAATTTTGAACATTTTTGATGCACTCCTGACCAAGAGCATGTGAGTCTATAAAGCAGAATTGTGAAGCATAAGTACACCAAAAAGTGTTCTGTTATTTTAGAGAAGTTGTGGTGGAATTATTTGAGTTTTTCGGTATGATTTTTTCAAATTTCAGAAAAAATTGAATAGAAAAGATAAAACACATCTGGATTGATAAAACTAAAAAAGAGGCAGATTTCAATAATAAGACTGCCAATAATTTAGTACTTAATTATTCAAAGAGATCTTTATTGATCAAAGAATACTTATTAGAATGAATAGAAGAAATATGCATTCCATCATTGAACTTGGATCGTTAAATAAAATGTGTTGCACGCCTGACCGTAGAAATATGGATCTGAAACACAGACAGATCTATTTAGATTTTATTTGGTAAAAATGTTCTTTGTGTCTTTATTTTCCCAAGCAAAAAATTACATACTAATAAAAGTTTTTCCATGCTAGGGCTAAAAAATAAATGTTGCACTCCTGACATAAATGGGTATGCATAGATACTTGATTCTCATTATTGCTACTTCTGATTAAGATAACCTTTTTAACTTTTAAATGATGTATCAGTTATTGTTTTACACATTCATAATTCTTTTTTGACGTAATTGTCATATACATGTTTAAAATCAATGAGTTTTTGGCAACATTATTTTTTTCTGTTGCACTCCTGACATGGTATAGCATTTTTTTCAGCACCAGCCATGATCATAACTTTAACAAACAAAAGTTTCTACAATCTAAATCTAATAATTAATACATTGAATTTTATCAGGAAAGTCTTTATTTTTAACATGAACCATATTTATTTATTTCACAGATCTTTGAAGAATATTAAATTTACAAAATGTCACAATTAAAAAGATATTGCACTCCTAACATTTTTAGCATCATTTTTGGGCATAACTTTTTTGTGACTTAAGATATCAATATTTGGCAGGTATTTAGACAATATCAAAGATATATGCTTGAGCTTTAGAAATTTATTCACATTGCTTGTATTTTTAGGGCAGAATAACAAATATGTGTCTGGTCATTTTTTTTAATTCACTCACATGTGAAAAATAAAACCCTATCTCCAATCAATCAAAAGCTATGTACAAGGTTAGAGTTTTAAGGACACAGACAGACGAAGAAATCAAAAACTGTAAGCCTCGAATCTTCGATTAGAGGGCATAAAACATATTTGTCATTCTTGTAAAATGTTTATAAAAATTGAAATACACATTGTAATGCACTGCCAGTGTTAGGGTCATTGTGAAATATTTTTAATTCTATTGAGGACATAATTAATCCAATAAAAAACGAGTGTACTAGAAAAAAAATGTTCATTTTTGAAGGAGTGCTTTGAAATAGGGAAATCATAGGATTCCCCTAGATATTGTCTATTCGTCTGTCCAGAACTGAAATGGAAAGTAAATTTGAATTACATGTTAAACCTAACCATTCAATGACTTGAGTTGGTATAAAATGTGATTTTTCAACATTGACCACCAGACCAGTTTCTGACAATGTTTTCTGCAGAAATTGAGAATCTAAAGCACATCGACTCTAAAGCACATTGACTCTCAGTTGAAGCAAATGCCAAACCATCATCTAAATATAATACAATCATAATGCCATTTTTCTCAAGAATTTAACGATGGGTCTTAGACAAATGGAGCTGCATGACGAAAGACCAAAAGGAAGAATTGTATAGCAGTAATACTTGTTATCCCACTGGAATCCTTAATAAGTCTGATAATTCTCCGCTATATCTATGTGATGATATCTTGATTTCAGATATAATAAAAGTCGTTTTCGAAATAATCTAATGTCGTCTTCCAGTCTTCAAATTTTATTTTTTCATACTTTACATATTTATATAGCCTACTGAGTTCAAGGATCCACCTCTTTTTGTTTTTATTTTCTGCGACGCTCAGTGGACTACACAAAAGTGGCTGAAGGAACTTCTAAAATACATTGGTTTTCCATCAACTCTGCAATTTCTGTATTAAAATTCAATAGCAGACTTATTGTTTCGAAAACACATAGAAGGAAGATTTTAAACAAAAGGAATTTCATATCCAGATTCAATAACTTTCAAAATAAATGGATTTGTGCCAATTTTTTTTACATTTACCAACATATCTTTTCAAACTGTGCTTTATCAATGATTTTTGTTTTGATTCCTTTTTCTGAAGGCATTTCACTTGACCAGCAAGAGTCGAATAGCTTGTATATAACCTGTATACTTATCATTGACTTTGTGACTTGTTTTGGGGGCAGTTGGTTTTCAAGTGCCCGGCGGAAAAGCAGTTGAAGCAAACATCACTGGGCTGTGGTTAACGCCTCGCAGGTTTGCCACGAAAGGGCTGCTGCTGATATGTAAATAGTTGAAGTGCAGCAGTAGAAGAAGACCCAGAAGAAGCAAGTTGGGCTGCCGCTGCCGCTGCTGGAGAGGTTCTGTAGGTGCCATACGAAAAAAAAAGTTTGTTTTGCGCTTGCTTTTGCTGCCTGAGAGCGCGGTTTTCAGCGCTCTAATTTTCTTCTCATCGTCAGAGTTGTCGGCAATTTCTCTGGATTGGTACTCATTTACTGTTTTCCACCCTGCGGGAGAGGAATCGGCAATTTGAGTGTGTTTCTGGCGCGTTTTCAGTTTTTTCTGCAATTCGTCTATAATTGACATTGACTCGCTATCTTTATTTTTTGAAAGGCTAAGCTCTTTCTCCCAGTTTTTCTAGGCCCTCGAGAATTTCAGCATTAAAATCGTACTGAGCGCGATTTCCTTCGGATTTAATCTTTAGAATAGGGTTTTCTTTCAGTTTCTTGGCAATGGACTCTGACTGTTCTGCTTTAAGCAGTCAATTCCAATGAAATTGGCGTGTAACTATGTAACCATTGAGCCCCACCTCCAATAGGTTTTTTCGGAAGTTTCCCTGTTAAAAATAGAAAACTGTTTAAGTGACAGATTATACAAATTATGAAATTTTACTACCCATAACAAGAGGCGTGAATTAAAAAAAATTACAAGTTCGCAATAGAAAATTTTCTGAATTGATCTCATACTTGTATTACAGAAAATTTCTGATCATTTATAATTTTCCTGCATCTCAATTTGACAATAAAACTTTTGAAGAATTTTTTATATGCAATCCCCATCTTAATCGGTAAATAAAAATATCACTTTCATATGTTACGAAATATATATTGTAGTAGATTTTTTTTTAATTGCCAGTGACTGTAGATTTTTTTTCCTATTTTTATATCGGTAAGTTTATAGACGTACGCATACTATTGTACTTTCGTTTTTGTACATCCTAATGGGGATTTCCTGAGTTTTTCATGTCATGTTGTTCACGGGAAAGAGAACTGTCGAGCTCCATTCACAGAATCCACTGTATAAGATTATGCATCAAACTTCAAAGGTATATTTCTTTCTAATGTATCATGAATAAGCTGTCCATTAATTAATTTATGAAGATAAGTGAATGGTATTTACTTATAATGTGATTGAAAAATTCATGTTTTCCCCCTGGGTTATTAATTATTGTTAGATATTGAGCAATTTTTATATTTTTGATATAGTACTTAAAAATTAAAACTTTATTAAAATGAAGCAGTGTATTTTACTAACCACTTAACAAACCAGGCAATACAACTCTAGGTTCATCTGCAGCTGTCTTAAATATCAGGAAAAAAACATGAAATTTTTAATCACGTAAACAATTTCCCTATTTCTAGTGTATGGACCCATACGCTAGAAATAAGGAATTTGAAATGCGATAAGCCAGAGAAAGTCGATGTTTTGAAGAAAAAAATGAATGTTGTTTTTAGCTGAAAATTTAATCTCTACTTTCGATTTGATGAGGATTTACTATAATCTAAATATACATTAGTACGTGCTTTATTCAGACTGCCTGACATTTGGTACTTGGAAGTACTGAAATTTTATTCAGAGTTTATCAGAAGATTGTATCCTACGAAAGTCCATTGAGTTCATTTTGGTTGGTTATTTATTATTATTATTATTATTATTTTCTTTTAATCGCGTTACTAAGCTATACTTTCACATATAAACACGAAACTTTTGCGAATACACGCGAAACTAGCATATAATATCTTAAATTTGTATTGTTATTTTGTGCTGTTAATAAAAAATGTAACTTTAGCAATCGATTTATAATAATAATGTTTAAGTTACATTTGAACTTTTTAAGCAGATTGTTTTTTTTTTATTTTATTTTTTTTAGTGGTAGTATTTTCATTAGATTAATTGAGGTTTTATTTATAATTCACAAATACACTGCATCAAACACGAAATATTATGCAGAGTTTTTTGATGGTAGTGCTGGGGAGAGGGGGTAGATTTCCAGGATCTTGCTGCGGTGTCATTAAAGCTTTATATGACGATATCCATGTCTTCAGCTAGGGATCAGATAAAAATTTTAAAAATGCACTCTAATTAGAGTGGTAAGTGATATGTTTCATTGCAAAATTAACCTTTAATAAAATAATAGTATTTTATTATACAGCTGATAAATAGTCTATAACCACAGGTGCTTGAGGACAGGACCCCCCCCCCCCCTTCGATATAGACACCCCGGGCCTTTTCGACTTTTTTCTCATAAATTATCTTTCAATGACATATTTGTGATATAATCTATACCTACAATTCGAAAAATTACCTAAAACAAACATTTTATAAAATCTACCACACTATCTGTATATAAATCTTTATATATAGAGAGTGGGGTATTATTTTTTTTGAAATGTTTGTTTAAGCCAATTTTCCGAATTGATGATATAGATTATATCACAAATGTGTCATCCATATACCGGTATAACTTATGAGAAAAAAGTCGAATAGGTCCGGGGGTCTATATCGGGGGGGGGGGGGGGTCCTGTCCTCAAGCACCTGTGTCTATAATAAGAAGATGGTTTGTTGTTTAACGTCCTTCTCGAGAATTTTTCACTGATATGGAGACGCCGCGACTTGCCGGTGGAGAGCTGCAAATTTTGACCTATGCTCGGCAATCAGGGCCATTGAGCAGTGAGGGATCTTTTTCGTGCAAGCACCTACTGTGACACGGGATCTCGGTCTATACGGTCTCATCCGAAGGACCCCACGTCCCACAGTGGGACAGTCGAACCCGCGACTTTAGGATCAACTCCTTACTCCGCGACTCTAGAGCAGACGCTCTGCCACTGCACCACGCGAGCGATTATAATAATATTAAGAAAAAAACTATATAAATCTAGTTAGCGTGCAATATCTTGGCTTTATTGAACGGCGAGTTTGCAATGTGTATTCTATATAGAATATTTAATTACATTTGCTTTAAAAACTCGTTGAAATGGTGTGTATTTGCTCGGCAAGTCTCGCTAAAATACACAATTTCAACTCGTTGGATAAAGTAAATAAAATCACACAATATAGATATTCTTTATATCTAATTTATTTATTTATGAATTTATTTGGGCTTTAATCAATAGACCGCGACAATTCATTTCACTGTTGAAAGAAATTCGGATCCGCGTCACTTAAATTCAAATTTCTAAAACATTAAAATTCTTAAACTCTAAATTATTTAAGAAATTTAAATCGCATATTACGTATTTTAAATATATGATAAATAGAATACTACATACTGAAATCCATATCATATGTCGTATCAGCCACTCGGGCTGATATGACATATGATATGGATTTTAGTATGTAATATTCTCTGTATATCATTCGGTCGGTAATTGTATACTTGATACATTTTAAAATATATTTTGCTCAAAAAATTCCATTTATCAAATATATGAATTCGACTTTTCCGTTAATTACGTCCAAAACGCATGTAGATAGGTAACGGGAGCGTCGCACATGCAATAACAAAATATTGATAACTTCCATAAAACAAACAATACAAACATAATATTTAGCAGAAAAATTCAAAATATTATGTAAATGATGTAACTTCCTAAATTATGATGTCCTTTAATCCGTATGCTCTGAACGCGTCGCTCAAAATGTAAGACAGAGATGTAGGTAAGCGTTAACCGAAGACATATGGAATGAACAAGAAATACCTTTGGGTTCTTAGAAAAATATTAAATAAGCTAAATCAATTTTGAAATTACATCTCGATAATCCTTTTGGTGTGTAAAGAACTATTTCTTTTAGAATAGAATGATATTGTGTGTTTATATGTATGTTGGGTACCTGATATTTAGAAGATTCATTGGGAGGATATTGAATAAGATTGTGTGTCACAAAGTTTGGAGGTTCAGTGTCACAAAGTTTTTAAGATCCATAGAATGACTACTAGTATTTTTGTCATACTGAGTGATAAATCAATGTTAAATATTTTTTTAATTCTATAAAAACGTTGTCATGTTATTAAGAAAAACATATCTATACGGAATTATAACTTGGGATGTCGTAAATGTTCAGAATAATTGCCGTGTCACATATGTGTACAATATGTAGGTAGGTGTCACAATGAAAGCCGTCAAAAAAGTCACTGAAATACGACACTCAATAAATTGCTTTCATTTTTAGAGTTAATTTCTTTTATTTGGCACCATACAACATTTAATACAAAATGTGCAAAATCAAAACTTCAATGAGATATATATATTATTATAACAGTAACTTGATCCGAAGTGCCGTATCACGTCAAGTTGACAGGCATCAAATCAAACGAGACGCGAAGCGTCGAATTTGATCTGATGATCCGTGCCTGTCAACGAGACGTGATACGGCTCTTCGGATCAAGTTACTGTTATAATGATTAATTTATTATATACCCCTTTACAACTAGCAAAATATAATAAAAGGAAACTTTTTGGATCAATTACAGAACTTAAGTCCATTAAGGACATTGGCAAGTCAGGGTTTTCCGGAGAAAAAAGGTTTAATACATGGGTTTTTTCGTTTATAAAATAGTTATTGAGAGTGATCTCCCGTGTAGAATTCTCTAAGCGATGAAAACCAATAAAGCGTATGTTACAGAGGTAAACATAAGCACGTGTACCTCCTTCAAGGGGTAGAATCATCTATACAGCAAGAAAGAAAAGCTGTAATGGCTTTGTTGTACATTGTATTCAGGGACAAAGAGCCAACAGGTCATTATTTACCATAGTTATGCTCAGTTTGCTTGAAAGGGCAAAGATGTGACATATGCTGAAAGGTAGGTCGACCATGCCGACTGAGAACAGTTCTTAGGTCATGTGAAGGAATCGGCATTTAGTAACTACGAATAAAAGTCAAAAATAAATCCATGACAATATTTTTATGACAATGAGTTTCAATTCAGTCAATTACATGATAAAACAATCAACCAGTCTCTTGACCAATTTTAGCCGTTAATGGACGCAACTCAAAAATAATGATCGGTGCCGGTATATCCATGTCTTGTTTCTAAATATACATTTTTAGCCAAAATATCTAGAAGTCATAGGAAATGAAGATACAATAATGTATATAATAAAAAAAGATGTATGAAATAAATGGGCTTTGAAGAAATATTATGGTGAAAAATTATGTAGGTCCCTTTTATCAACATTTTACATAGGAAATGCATTAAGAATTGTGAAAACACTAATTTGACAAAATTCTAAAAAAAGAATGATGGATTGGTAGGTAAAACGATCCAGAATATAGCCTGTTTAGTACATTTAAACCTACTCAAAAGTTCTTGAAAAATTCTATACAATAACCAGGAACCTTGCCAATGTCCTTAATTAAACAAACCATTTTGTCAAGGAACATTTTGATGCGCGAGAATAAAAACGTCATTTATCTGTGTACTACGTCATCAGTTTCAGAGATATGGATTCAGAAAACCACAGTGTGGTGATCCGGAACGTCGGATCACATCGTCACGTGATTGCGTGAATTCAACAGTAAAACTGAGTGACAAACAGAACAAACAAAAAACAAAAATTGAATTGATTCTTGATAGAAGTGTTTGTTTTAGAGGCTATCCGCGATGTCAACACTGAATGTCACACATTGTCCCAAACTAATAAATCTAACTAATTATTATGGCACAACTGCGGCTGGATAAATCAAATGTAGTCATTAAATATAGACATATTAAAAAAATAAACGATTTTTATCAAATGTGCATCTCTTCAAAAAGTTATTAATATATTCCAAATTAATATCAATAGAATGGTGACAAAATCCTAGCAAAAAATAAATGTCAACATGCTAAGTCACAGACGTAAAAATAAGGAGTTTTTGACGTTATTAAGTGCACTTATATCCTTTAAAATATTCAAAGATTTTATCCAAAAACTTACTCTTGCTGATATGGATGAAATAAAAATGTACCAATAATGATTAAATTTATAAACAAAAATATAAAGTTCGGCCAGGTGTATTTATATATAGAAGCAAAACATGTACAGTATATACACTGTTTCAGTA